GACATTTGTTTGTATTTATATTCAGGTTCTAGTAGTGAGCTGGTGGGTTGTGCATCTGCTGGTTTTCTTTTTCTTTTTTTCTTTTTTTTTTTTCTTTTTTGTTGATGTGTTTGTGTTGTGGTGCATGGATGCGTGTGAGCGCGTGCCAATCCGTCACGTTTTGTGTGTGTGCGCACCAGTGTTTTGTCAGCAGCACGAAACTGATGGCAGTGCGGATGTGAGCTGATGTGAGGTTAATTAAGACGGTGATTGAGCACAGTAGATGGGTAATGAATGGAGGAGAGAGGAGAGAGCTGCTGTCTGAGGATGAAAATGATCGGCCATGTGGAGTGTGGAGGGCATGAAATCAGAGATGCCAAGTGTAATGAAGACTGGCACATAGAACACACACGGGGACCCATCTGAGTGACAGCATGGAGACTTTACCAGGATGCACATGCTCTGTGCCAGCAGCGTGCCAACCTCAGACAAGGGACAGGGGAGGGGTTTTTATCTTTCACTCTCTCTCAGTGAATTGTTTTTCATTTGACTCACTGGCTTCTGCCACAACTTATTTCAACCTTAATCAAAGGAATGAAATGAGAGTGAATAGGACATATGTCTGAGGAATCTACCACCTGTCTGACGTGTGTTTGTTTTTGTTTTTTTCTGTCTTCTTGTTTCCGTGCAGCTGCTGTAGACTACCTAGCTAAGAACGTGAGCTTGTCCACCCAGAGGAGGATGAAACTTGGAGACCACTCAGCCGTGCTGGGACTTCTGCAGGTGGAGACGGGACAGGCCTACTGAAGCCCTCGGGACACACCTTAGACGTCTCTCCTCCACCCTCTGCCACCCACTCCTCCATGCTCCATCAAGTCTGGACTCCAACTCCAGCTCCAGCCTCTCTGCTGCTCGATCTGCAGCCCGGCCGTGACATCAGCGCACAGACACGCAGCCTTGCTGTGTACCAGAGAAAGTGACGCTTGCGGGTGTGACAAGGCTCTTCTGGGAATGGAACTAAACTTTTCACACCATTGTCAACCATCAGGCGGCTCTGCACCCTCTCTTCTCAATCTTTGGGCACCCCTGCCTGCTCCTTGTACTCGTACCCCTACCCCAAACCCTGTTTTGTTTTTGCTCAGAGGGCCAGACAGGACCCCAGACGACCCAAGAACGGTCGGCTGCCTTGGGCCCGGTTCCTCTTTGTCATGGCTGCAGTCCAGCACACATTTAGAGCCATCAACAACATGTACTTTGACCTTGCTGTTCATAGTAGTTAACAAAGCCAATATCATTTGAGCGACTCTTATTCTTGTTCCTTTTTGATATTGTTAAGATTATTGTTGCTGTTATATGATTATGGTTAATGTGATTTATGTTGTTCTTTGATTCCATTCGTATCTCTTTTCTCTGTTAGATGTTGGTGTGTAAAACACAGTGGATGACTGAGACGATTTGGGAGTGAGTGTCTGTTGCGTGTGCATGTTTGCGTGTCGGCACAGTCTCACAAGAGAGGATGATTGTTTTCCAAGCTGCTGTTCCTCTGCCTGTTCCCTGAGCTCTAATGTTCGTGAGCGATTTGACCTTCCCACTTTCATATTCATCTTGACATTCCTAAAGAACTTGGCCACTCTGTGGGAAGTCTGGCTGGATGGATTCTGCAGGGAATTAAAGCAGCGTTTTGGCGGCCAATAGCTTTCCCCTTCTAACCTCCATCCCATCCTTAGCCGCGGTCCATGGGGAGGGGGGCATTGTTTGCAAAAACAGGATTGGGGAAATTAATGTATTTTGTTTAGAAATATGGACCTTGCCAAGGAGGGCTAACTCAATTCCCCCCCTCTACTCCTCCCAAATCCCCATCTGCCAGGGAATCCTGTGTGACTTAAACAGTGTAAAGCAGATTAAATCACACAAATATAATGTCAAAGCTAATTCACAGTGACCCTTCCCATTACCAGCCAGTATTTCTGTTTTTATAGAGTAATTAGCACATTCTGTAAATGCGCCTTCAGTCGGTTTCCACTTTCAGACTAAATAAGCATTCCTTCGAAACATTCCACAGGCTCCATTTACGAATATAAGCATTCCAGCGCTTTCTGTTATGAGATTAAAAAGCACACAAGCTGTGCCATTCACATGCACTCTGGAAAAATCATATAATCCAGTCAGTTGTGAAAGGGCACAGGTAACACCACTGATTGGCCCCCCTCTCTGGTTTGGACCGGAGCCCCCTCTAATCCTCCACTTTGACGTACTCACTGAAATGTACAAAAAAGAAGAAAAAAAAAAAACATTTAAAGAATAGTGAATATGAGACATTTGTGTAGCACTCATAGTTGACTTGACACGATCCAGGACCAGCTGTTCCCCTTGAGATGTGTGTGAATTTTTTTTTTTTTTTTTTTTTTTTTTTTTTTTTTTTAATTGGCATCAGTGTGATATTGATGATGTACACAGAATTGTTAACTTTATCTCAAGACAGAATTTGGTCCTTTGTCGCCTTTAAAAACTGAAAACTGTAAAGTAGCTGGAGCAGATGTGTGTATTGTTTGTTTATAAAGAGTATGTTTTATACTAAAACAAAACTATGTTGAGTGGTAGGTAAGCAAGGGATCTGTGGAAGTAAATGTTTGATTTGAGTTTCCTTAACTGGCTTGTTTTCTGTTGGTTTTCTTTTTTAATTGTATTTAATTGGTTTAACCTGTTATGACCAAAAGGTTGGTTTGTCTTTGGCCCGGGTTGGAATGAATTTGTATAAATTAGTAAAATATAAATTCCATTAAAAATGTTGAAATTAAAATTGTATAAAAGAGGATCAAACTGAGCTCAATGGAAAACGAAAGCTTGGTGACAGACAGACTCCCTGGACCACGGGACCACTGTATATTTGAACAGGTGGCTGGAGGAACCGTCTCTACACGTCAGAGCATTTTGAGGGTGTGTTTGACCACCTGATCTTACAGACTGATTATTCGTGCAGACCAGACTTGACTGGACCATGGACCTAACACACCCGAACTCCTGAGCCTTCGGTGTGGGACTGGGTTCAAATGTGACGATGACGATGATGATGATGATAACGATGATGATGATGATGATGATGATGATGATGATGATGATGATGATGATGATGATGATATTGATATTGATGATGATGATGAAGCTGGTGAAGACAGCCTCTCCGCTCTGGGAAAACTGAATCGAGTCTCGTTTGATTTGTGGACCAATAAGACTTCCGGAGGAAAAAGTCAAAGTAACGTTGACTCCGCACTGAATCGCAGCAGCTCCAACTGCTCCGCTTAGACGCCTCACTCGTGTATATTTTAAAAAGGAAGAGTTTTAGAATCGTCTTTAGTGTATCAAACCCATTTCTAACACTTGCGTCAATAAACATTTGGATATTTAAAGCATACAACTCCTTATCCCCCCTCCCGTCTGTTTGACCCTTAACCTGTTTAGTTGCTTTCTGACACCTGTGCTTTGCTTTAGTCCTTTTTCTGTTCCGCATGTGTGTATATTATCATGGTATAATTTATTCTGCTGTATGAAGTATTAGAATAGTGGGAAACTTGTATTGGTATTTACTACCTTCAGCCTGTTGGTGTGTTTACTGTAACACTGGCGTAACTGTTATCAATTAAAGATCCAAAACTGATTTCTGACATTTGTCTCTCTTTTTTTTTTACTGTGTGTGTGTTGATTGTTTTGCATGTTTTTAACGCAGCGGGTGTGAACTCTTTTCTACTACTATATGTGTGTGTGTATGAAGTAGTGCTGGAAGAAAATGAATCAACAGCTATTTTGATCATTGAGGAACCATTTAAGTTATTCATCCTGCTAATTTTTTGGTTCCAGCTTCTGAAATCTAAGAATTTGTTGCTTTTCCCTGTTTGATGTCATTGTGAATTGAGTATCTGTGAGTTTTGAGTCGGGCAAATGTAAAGACTTCACCATGGGCTCTGGGAAATTATGATGGGTATTTTCTTTTTTTTTTTCTTTTTTTATTGTCTGACATTTAATAGAGTCAAAATGTGATAATAAACAACAAAAAAAAAAAGCCAGCCAATTAATTCATAATGAAAATAATTGAAGTTTATGTGTGCATCTGTGCACATATGCATACATGAGTATATGCACATTGCGTTTGCATGTGTCCTCCATGTGTGTTCAAGTACATTAGTGGAGCCAGCGGGCCACCAGTGACTGTTCCAGTGCTGGTGATGTGATTAGGGAGTGATGAGAGCTCAGACGTCCCAGACTCAGAGACACAGAGCCAGAGTGTGTCTGTGCGTCTGTTTGCAGCTGTAGGAAGTCATTCATTCTGCCCGCTGACCAGCAGCGCTCTCCTCTCCCGCTGCTGGCCGGGGAATGTTGTCTGCAAATCTCTGTGGTATGGTGTGAATGCAGGGGAACGAACCAGTGTGGTACGGAAGCATCCGATGTGCTTTATGTTACACGTCAGGACACTGGAGCTCATTCAGTTCTTTTACCCTCAGCGCCGTTGGAGGTATGTCAAACACGTCTTAGGTATGTTCATTCACTCCTGACTGATTTTAAACACATCTCAAACATGTTGGATATGTCTACACTCACTGCAGCTATAAAATGTCTATACATAATCTTGTTCAAATTAGGAAATGATGCCAAGTTGCGCTTTGAGAGATGTATTTACATTTTATATACCACAAAATAATAACCAATACTTTACTGTTCATTTGCAATTAAATGAAACTAATTAAAGGCATCACTAATCACAATTATTAACATCATTAATATCAAATTGTATTAGGAGATAAATTTGATGCTAAATAAAGTAAGTACTGATCTGAATAAACTTCTATTCAGACTGTGTTATCATGAGGTAACTATCATTCATATTTCATACTTTGTTAAATATTGGAGAGATTTAAACAGCTCAGCGAGTATAAATAGATGCAGAATATTTAGTATTCCCTTTAGATTTACAGATTCAGATCAACTACAAACTGCAGTGTTATCACTGCTCTATCATCATCAAGGCTCAGTTTAATTTGATGCAAATGGAAAATACTCTTCAATGTCTAATTACAAAACACACGTGTGTTTTGTAGGGTGGGTTCTGGGGAAGCATGTCAATGAGGCAGGAATATGGTCAGTTATTAAACAGATATATGGGTTCAGTCTGAGGAGACTGAAGGATTTCAGTGGATCCTCTCAACATATTTAATATGCATTGTTAGGTGGCTTTTTGGCTGCCATGTGTCATCGCTCATATATTCCTCTAAAAGTTTGTGTTCTGGTTGTCCAGATTAGACCTTGGCATGTGCCATGGTTGTCCCCTTTGCTCCAGCTTGTCTCCTGAGGTGCCGGCCCGGGAGTTTTGTCTCCCTGCGGTCTGCTGTCACTCAGACTGGACAAGGTGGCAGCTCAGGCAGCGCTGTGTGGGAGAGCTTTGTGACACTTCCCTCATCTCCTCCTTTGATCCCCTAATTGATTGACTACAGGAGCAGAGGATAAACAGAGTCCACAAGAGCCGATTCCACTCGCCTCTCTGGAGTGGTTTAGATAAAGTGCAGAGGCCCGAGCTCTCCGTTCCTTCTCTCCGCTCTCTATATGGACATACGGCCATTGAAGGTGGCTCTGTGCCACGGTAGCTTAGCTGTGGGCTGTGTCCTCAGGCCCGGGGCTTGCGTACTGCCCCTGTGCATAAATGGCTGGCGGTAATGGGTTTGTTTAGATCACAGGGATGGAAATGAAACTCCTGAGCCTCGCTGTAGAGACCAGGAGGCCCTATCACTCAGGAGGCAGCGATAGAGAAGTCACAACCT